CTGAGGCCTCCTAATCCTTCCTTCTTACTTCCTGAATAACCGCCCGCTAGTGCCTGTGTCTGACCGCTAGGGCCCCTCTGACTCCTCAGTAGAGAGGAGGCCCTCTGTAGGTAGGAGGCCCTCTGTAGAGAGGAGGACTCCCGCCTCAGTAGAGAGGAGGCCCTCTGTAGAGAGGAGGCCCTTTGCAGAGATGAGGTTCTTTGAAGAGAGGAGGCCCTCTGTAAAGGAGGTCCTCTGAAAGGGAGAGACCCTCAGTAGAGAGGAAGACCTCTGTAGAGAGGAGGCCTTCTGTAGTTAAGAGGCCTTGCGAAAAGAGGAGGCCCGCAGTAGAGAGGTGGTCCTCTGTAGAGAGGAGGCCCCCTCTGTGTTTTGACAAATCATTTTGCAAATTTTTCGCGGCGCTTCGCGCCGCCGATTCATGTACGTACAGGTCAATACGAAATCGTGACTGTAATTACACCAACCAACCGTGGCAAATTGAATTAGAACTTATATGTGTAACTGTGAAGGAACTCCGGCTTGTACTGCCATGCTCAAAGGGTGGTAAAATTTGTGTTTTGGAGCTGTGTTTTGACAAATGCTTTTGCAAATTTTCTCGGCGCTTTGCGCCGCCGCCACCAGTCAATCAAAAAGATCGTGACTGTAATAACATCAACCGTGTCAAATTGAATCGGAATTCATATGTGTACTGTGAAGGAACTCCGGCTTGTACTAGCATGCTATAAGGGTTGTAATGTTTGTGTTTTAGAGTTGTGTGTTGACAAACGTTTTTTTCCACACAAAAAATTGCGGCGCTTCGCGCCGCCGATTCATACACAGGTCAATAAGAGAGATCGTGACTGTAATAACACCAACCGTGTCCAATTGAATCGGAATTCATATATGTGTACTGTGAAGGAACTCCTGTTTGTACTAGCATGCTAAAAGGGTTGTAATATTTGTGTTTTAGAGCTGTGTTTGTACAATTTTTTTTTTTTTAATTTTTGTGGCGCTTCGCGCCGCCGATTTATAAACAGGTCAATAAGAGAGGTCATGACTATATGCTACTAATGCATTAGGCTAAAAGTGAGGTAACTATATCTACTTCTTGGTTTTTAAGTACGTCGATCGCCCCCCCCCCCCCCCCCCAGTAAAAAATCCGTAGCGACGCCCCTGTATAGGTGGGTTTCACTAATTGAAACTACTGAGCCGAGTGACTAATAACGATAAAACTTCATCTTAGAAACGACGAAGATCAAATGTCATTTGATCTCGACATACTCGCTCCCTACCCCCCCCCCCCCCCGGTCGTCTGAATTCATCCATCAGACCCGGCATGTCGGCCGACTTGTGACCCCCTCCCAAACGTTCCCCTAGATCCGCCCTTGGAAGGTTATATGCTTTTGGGCCCTTTGAGACACTTGGGGCCCTTTTCCTTGAGGGCCCCTCGAGGCCTAGTCCCCCCCACCTCTGAAATCATTTCTCCAGCCCTGATCTAGGACCTTAAAAGTAGACATTTTTTGTTTCCTCTCGTCACCAACACATAGGCGTCGCCAGAGATTTTCGGTTGGGGGGGGGGGCAAAATCAACTTTTGTGTCAAAACTTGCCTTTCCCCAGTCTTCACTCGTTTTACATATCATTCGACGCACAATGGTGAGAGGAATCCGATGGTGACAAAGGTTTCCTTCTAGCAAGTGCACAAGCGATATAGGGGAAGTGCATAGCTCAATAGTTACAATAAGTGCATAGCTCAATTCAGCAATACCACGGCATATGTCTTCAAAGTAATTGCTATTGCCCATGCCCAAGCTTGCCTTGTGAAGGTCTTGGACTTCAAAAATTCAGGAAGGCCTTATACTGCAGTTGAATTGGTCATGCTGTTTTGGATAAAGTGGATCACCACGTTTGGGGCGCCAGCGCCCCAAACGTGGTGAGTGGTGAGGGCAAGTTTGAGGTGCCAACTCAGATTTGCACCCCCAATGTCATTTCCAAAGTTACACCCATGGCGGAGCCGGAGTCGGAGTCAGTCCTAAAAAATTCATCGACTCCGCAGCCCTGTCAATAGAAGTTAATTACGGCGTAGAAGGGAGATTAGGCTGCCCAGCAAAAAGAAAAAAAAACAGACCGCAGGTCAATCAGCTCAGTGGTTGCTTTTATATAAACCTCTCAAAATCGTTACAGGTCGGGCCGCTCATACTAAGATTTTTTTCCGTTTTAGTGAAAATACTTTGCTTCGCCCGTTAGCTCATAATCAGCAGACACCACCTCAAAAACACCAACCGCTGGCCGTACCGCCGGCGCCCCACACACCCTGTCGACCCCGAGGGCACGCCGTGACCCGTCTCGTGTCAACTGGGGTAGGGGACGGGGAGAGGTCCGAAGTCCAGCTGTGGTCCGCAGCCCAGGTGACCATCATTGTGCCTCGGCGGCCAGTTTCTGTGAACTTTGACCTACCGCTGGATACCCGAGGGCTCCCCTCCCCTATCAGCCGTAGTGAAGAGCCTCTACCCAGGCAGTGCGAGCTATCACAACAAACGTGCGTATCTGGGCAGCGTGCGTAAAACTCCGACCTCCCCTCGCCAGGCTCAATTTGGACTTTCCCATTGGAAGTGGCGCAGTCAGGCTCAATCTGATTCGGGGCAGAGCAAATAGCTGAAAATTAACATTTTCCCTGATATCTGGAAATATACGGAGCTTTCAAACGTGCCACTTTTAGGACGGGTGCAAAAAGTTGTGGACATTTCCAGAATATCATTATGCATCTCCGTCGCTTTAAGTAAGAACGTAGGTCGATATTGCTGTGTGTAACGTATACCTACCACGCAGTGAGCAGAGGGCTGTACATAGAGAATAGACAGCGCTACAAACTTGTCTTGCGGATTTTCAGAATTTTGGGATTTTGACCCAAAAAATAAAATAAAACTGATTTTGTTTAGAAAAGCTAAAAAAAAAATCCAAAAAAAAATTCGAGCCTCGAAAAACGGAATACAAACGATAGTCCCAGCACTCTTCTATCCACATACCAAATTTTAGATCGATGTCTCCTTTTTTGGCCAAGTTATAGCGGAAAATTGTTCAAAATTGATGTCAAATTTCTTTAAAGGAAATAGTTCACTTTTAACATGGGATTTTGAACTGGAATAGCAGTTTCGTAGCTTGAGCTGAGACAAGCACAAATCAGGAGCTTTTACGGCTCAACGATCACCCTAGACGAAGATATTCCATTTCTCGTTCCGAAAAGAGTGCCTTGCAGAGGAATGTGTGCCTTGCACAGGAATGCAGCCACGTCATCGTCAGCCAATCAGCATGCTGCTTACAGCTAATGCAGCATGCGTAGGTTTGAACTACGCAATATGATTGGTCAACGCGTAATAAGCTTCCGCGTCAAACATTATTTTACATAGAATATAGTTCGTCCTATATTAAAATATAGAAAATAATTGTTTTTACAAAAAGGTTTTATTTTATTTTCTGATCATTTTGAGCATAAAAAATCGTAAATCCATAGCAAAATACTAATTTCAGGAAAGTGAACTGTTTCCTTTAACCCGGCCGGGCCCGGGGGTAATCCCAACCACCGCAGCCCGGGAGGGGCGTTTTTCGCCCCCCCCCCTGTCTAACCCCGTAAATAAGGGAGCTACGCAAACAAAAGCGATACCAAACGAAAGGTCCTTACGAGACGATTCTAAAGCACCCAACATTTTTACCTTAGGTCAATTTTCAAGGTCAGAGGTCAAGGTCAAAGACAAAAACCGGCACATGTGTAGTGATCTCAAAGTAAGCGTTCTAGAGGACGGCAGGATGCATAAAACCGGCAAATTTGAGTATCAAACAAAAGAGAAGAATCTGAGGATTCCGAAAATGTGCTCAACATTCAAGGTCAAGGTCAAAGTCATGCTCAAAATTGACCTCAAACTTTGCACTTTTTCGTACATCTTGCGTGCTAACTTCCAAGATGTTTTGAAATGTTTTGAGGCATCAGTTCCCTATTTGTGGTTCAGCTTACGATACAAGGCTGCTCAAAGGTCAAAGTCACAGAAGAGTGTCCTTGCTAGAGGCTGTTTCACTGATTCAAGCTAGTGATAATAAATAAGACAATTTTGTCATCCGGAGGCTGTAAATGAAGGCTTAGAGGAAAATAGATGCCAGATTGGTGATCAGCGGGTACGAATCCATCATAAACGACCTTTCATGTGTCAAGGTCAATTGAAGGTCATTCGAGGTCACATAAGCTCAACATAAAACTTGACCTTATCCAAACAAAATATATATCATTCGACGCGACTTGACAAGGCAAATGCGATGGTACAACTGCCGTAGCTCTAGGATCATTTTTGTCGAAGTTATTTGCAAAAAACCAAAACCACAGCTCGGGGCCGTTGACCTGACCTCTAACCTCAGGTCACCAAATCTATTTTTCTATTTTTCTCTAGGTCAAACGCAACACAACCGTGCTCGTAATTTGGATTTATCTCTAAAACTATTTTTAGCAGCTATTTGAAGTTCGCGTCTGTCATCACCTTTGAAAGCCTAAAAAATTGAAAATGAGGCTAGAATATTAGAAAGAAACTGACCATTCAAATTTCAGCCGCTGGGCATTACAACGCGTCACCATCTTTCAGGGGGGTTGCAACTCCATGCAACCCCCATGTGCTGGCGAGGATTAAAATTTGCCTTCGTCAATTTTGAGTTTTGAAAGTTGGTATGGCGATGGATGACCATAAGTTCTATAACACATTTTTTTTTAATTTGTTAGGGTTTTTAGGATATTACATCCACTACATTATTTTTTGTTTGGTCCAATTCATAATTTTCTAAAATCCGAGATAGCAATTTTGTATTCCTCCTAAGTCTACAACTTTTCTGTGTTAGACATGTTTTCTATCTTCAACACTGTATGTAGGCTTGTCGCTTGACAGCTCCTCCTGTAAACCCTTTTTTGGGGCGAAAATAACAAAACATGACGTCATTCTGATGTCCTTTGTGACCAACCTTGCATAGCCTCTGGAAACAATTTCAGCCACCATATGGAAAATTGATGCCCGGAGGGTTCCTGAAAGTTTGGTGGTGACTGGTGATATTATCAGTACTTCAGGCGATGTTTATGGCAAAGGAGAAGGGGGGCGTTTCGGTCCCCTTACGGAGCGCGGGCCGTTGAAACGCGATGGAAGGCACCGACATTAGCACAATTCATGGGCGGAACATAGATATTTGTCAAGTTGTCAACACTTTCACGCGGTGTCCCTCCCCTTCTGACATGTCACTCATAATGCCCGTCTCAGACCAGTTCTGATGGCTCAATCTATGCCGAGTCAGGTGTCACCCACCGCCCCCATGAGCCGCTCCCTGATTGGCCGCCCGCGCGACCACGCTCTGTGATTGGTCGAGCCGATAAGACGGCACCCGTGGCGGCGGGCCGTAGTACGCTACGGGCGCCCGCTGAGAGAGGGGGTCGTGTGTCTCCGGTGCATAGCTCCCACGTGCACACGTGTGTAACGCGAGTTTGACAGTCGCGCGGTCGGCTCTCGCCCGGTGTGAAGCCGTTTCCAGTGGCGATGTTGTGTCCGACGGGGATCGGAGCGAAGCTGACCGGTCACAGCGATCCGTGGCCGTTCTCCAGTGACCAGCTGTGGCGGATGGCTCCCGTTCTGGCCCGGCGGGCTCGCCGCTGCCGTCTGGCCCAGTTCGGAGGATCACCCGCGCGCCGGTGTCTCTCCGAGCCGCTCACCAGCTCCCAACTCAGTCAGTTCGTCAAAGAAGAGCACGCCGCTTGCTGCGCATCCGACCGGCGCCGGTACAACTTTGACTTTGAGACGATGGAGCCGCTGGAGGGTCGGTTCTTATGGGAGCCTGTCGATCAACCGCCACGGCTGGCTGACAGCTCAGAGTCGGAGTTTGGCTGCGACAGCTCGTCGGAGCTGCAGACACGGACGGTGCCGGTGGTGCTGAAAACGACCCCAGAGCTGAGCCGCCCAGCGCCACTGAAGGAGACAGAGAGGATATCAGTCTGTCCTCCCGACAGTCCTCTCAAAGCAACCGAACACACCTCCAGCACGGGTGAGTGGAGCGAGACAGAAGGTGGATACCGTCCGGTGTCGGTATAGCGGGACATAACTGCACTCGAGCTCATGCAATTTCTCCACATTCCTGGTGCGTTGAGAACGGGACTGGCGTAAACAAACAACTAAATATTTTGGGCGGCGTGGGGGTTAGTTTTGATCTTCAAACTTTGTCTATAGCGGGACACATATATCCTGCACTTAATTGATCATTCCTACCGGAATATGTTCCCACGTTCATTTATATCACGACAATTCTGCTAACGCGCATTTTGCATTTGTTTCAGACATTTCTCGAATCGGAAAAAGATCTACTGTCTCTCAACGCGACGGTCGCCGTCCACTAGCCGTGATCTGCAATGACCGGGATGAGCTCCGCTTCAGAGAGCTGCTGCCAAGCCTCGCTGACGAAACAGTTCACGCTTCTCCATCTCCCATAGAAAGATAGGCGGCCTAACGGATCTTGGATCACGCGATTCGGTTTATAGTTAAGTTTTTGATGGGACACAGCCACATGACGAGGTCCGCTAAATTGGTCCGATGAAACGGACGAGGTGGGCTCAATGGAGCTCAGTAGGGCCCGTCCCAGATAATAGATGAAAGGTGGTGAGCGCAGCCCCCTGCAGTGATCTCATTTCAGCAGCCGCTCGGTGATCTTGTCCTCACATCTCTGGCGGGTTACCAGGCCATATGGCCTAGTACCCGACTGTGCCATTCATACTCACCTTGAAAGCGCTAAGTTCTGATTGATTCGATGTGATGTTTGGAAAGTGTCGGTTCAACTTTTTTTGCTTTTGTTGTGTGGCTAGCTTTCTCCTGTTAATCCCGCCTGAACGTTAAACGTCCATCGTATCATTTTGCTCGATCTAACAATGCTTGTTCACTTACAGGGGAAGGGGGGGGGGTCTTGCTTAGGTTTAGGGTAGGAAGTTAAGGACTATCAGAAGTTTCACAGCTAGCGGCTTTTCATCAGTGTTCACTATGATGTAATCGTTTTCGAGACTGAGCCGGTTCGAGAAGAGATTGTAGTGTAGGTGCCCAATGGGACAGCCATGTGACGGATGGAAGATCATTGCCATATTTGTAGTCGCTCTGTAGAGGACACCTTGCCAAGGAGGCGTTGGGCTGGTATGATCTCTCGCTGTTACCAGTGATACTCTGAGCTGATACCAGTGATACTCTGTTCGTTGTCTTTCGGCCAGCGATAACCACTGCCGTCGTCTGTTACGACCCTTTTTCAACTGTGGAGGGCGCCAACGTCTGTGATGCTGTTCTCGTTTTAACGACGCGTGGTGTGTATGAGACGGTGATGATCTTGGATGACAATAAATGTTGCTATACGCATTGAATGAAGATTCATATTCGCGAGCGTTTCTTGAAGTAACTGTCTAAAAGGCAATAGCAAGCCATTTTAGAATAAAATTAAAAAAAACTGAAGAAAGAACGTCGTCTAACCATCAAAATGTTTCATGTGCTTCATTCAGGATATTTTTATATTTACTACCTTACCAGTTCGCTAGCTAACCCACAACCCAGTGGATAGTTGAATGGTCACTGGTCATCTCGCCTCAGCTTTCAGCTCCCAGTTCCGTACCAAACGTTTCTCATCTCACCCCACCCTTCCACACCTTCTTCATCCATAAGGTTTCGCAAAGGAAAATACTTGAGACGCTCCTCTTGGGCCCGGTGTAAAAACTGGCACCGTTTTTGTGCGACCGACGCCAGAGAGTAACTGGCGGATTGAGCCGGCGTGTCGCCGACAGTCTGATGTGACCCGGCGCCTCCGTCCCGTCCAGACGCGCCCCGGGGGCAGCTCTCACCGCCGTCCATTCAGCCCCAACGGCTTCCCATACCTTCCCTTCGGCTGGCTCCCTTCGAAATTCAAACTGAGAAAGGGAGAGGCGGTGGCGAGACTGAGATGGATGGTTGGCTACCGCGCCTGTCAAAAGAACGGGTAGATGGAGAGAAGGAAAGAAAAATAAATGATTAAAGGGGTAGCCGTCCCGTTCAGGCTTCAGGAGAACGTCTTCCATGAAAAGGTGGACTTAAAATGTATTACCGTTTCCATAGCATGAAGTATGCATTTCTGCCACGCCCCGGTCATGACTTGGCCAGGTCACCAGGTCACGCTAGATCTTAGATGACCTCCCCCACTTCACCGACCGAACTTTCGAGGTCGATCTGAGTGACAGAACACATGAGATGCATTGCATGTCGCATATCCTGGATTTTCAAGGTATGTAACCGGACCAGGTCCATTCTGCCAACTCCCAATAATCCAAAGTCGTTGGGAGAAAAGAAGCACTTCTTTACAGCGAACTGATTCCTCCAAACTCCAAATACTTTATAGCAATTTATCAAATATACCCGTGATGTCCTAATGGGCACCAGCAACCGTCGAATTAAGGACATTGCACCGTCCACATGGGCTGAAGATGTGCCGCCTGCACTGCCGTCCACCGCACACCGGGTCGGCCGGCCCCGTGTGGGACCGGCGCTTTTACGATAGCCACGTGCCTGCTGCATCATGCGCTGGGCGACACATCGTCCGCTGACGGAGGCGCGCAAAAAGGGGGCGTCACCACGCCACGCGGTGAGATTTGGCGGGAAATCGGTGCGTCGCGGCGCCGGCTGGCATTGAGCGCGCCCGGTCCACGAGTTGTGGACGCCGTGAGCCGAGCCAGGCGACCCTGAGATGACCGGCCCCGTGCGCTGAAGGCCAGCCGGCCGGCCACGGCGCCGTGTCACCGGGACAGACGCCGACGCATCGGCGTCGGCGTCCAGAAACACCACGTGACTGTTATCGTGATACACCGGCACATGTCACGTGACCCTGACCGTGAGGCGCCGGCGCGGTTTGGCGCCAAGAACTGGCGCCAAGGTCAGATGTTTGGCGCGCGCGCGGTGATGAGTAAACTGATGGCCACGCGCGACACGAGAGGGGGATGGGAGGCCGCGCCGACGCGACGCGACACGACGACTCCCAGTAGTACGCACGTGATACGGGAGGCATTGGGCGGCCGCGCTGCTCCCGGGGGAGGGAGGGAGGGGGCGTGCCTCGTGTGCCGCCGAGCCGCCAGTTTGGGTTAGATGGCGCCTGGTGTAAACATTGGCGGCGGGAAGTATTTGCTGCGTGCTAGCAGTTGCCAAGTGATGAATCAAGCTGGTGACTGCTGTCGGAGTGGTTGGTGACATCTATTCCCAAAGCTTATTGACCACCTGAATTTACCCACCCATTCGCACATTTCATGCCAAGGTGTAATAACTAATGAGCAAGAGGAACTAAGAAGAAGCTTAGGTAAAAGTATTAGTAAAGTAATCTAAAATCTTGGGCAAAATGCCGTGCCTTGGCGTCCCGTATAGTTTCCGGTGCATGGCGAGGGGGCTTTTAACGTTTTTACGCCACAGCCTCGCTCGGCTCCAGCTAGTAACGTGAGGTCACGCGTAACGACAGTCGACAGGTGGACAGCTGCACAGCAATCGAAAGGCCACTTAACATATCACAGAAAGCAATACCTATTGTAAGGATACATACCGGGTGGTTTAAAAACAGTTCGTCGTTCTCATCTTCAAGTTCGCGGTTTTCCAAAATATAGTCATCGAAGTTGGTGCCGCCAGATTCTTCGCCCAAAATAAATGCTTTGCTTCATACCAGTTGCTTCATATTGATAATAAGCAACTAGCAAGTAAAGTAAACAATCGATACCTAAGTGTAGACCATGTAGGTACAGCTGATTTCGCAGTTACTCATGGTTAATATAGGTAATTGTAAATAAATGAAGTACGATGATACCGTCACATGCCTTAAGGAAACGTTATTCGATGCAAAAAAAAAGCTGACATCAGCTGTCACTTGTCAGCAGTGGTAACGTTGCATGTCATCAAAACAATGAGGGTCGTAACTCGTAAGCACGCAGTCACTTGCTGTAGCCATGTGGCCCGCGCTGCGCCGCGCTGGCGAGGCGCTGCCGTTCTTTTCGCTGCACGCCTGGCGGCACGGTGCCCGCGGTACCCGCCAAAACCCGACTCCGGCTCCGGCTCCGGCTCCGGCGCGGCGCCTGCAGACAGGGGCAGGTACAGACACGATCGGACACGAATGGCACGAGCGGCCTGTCCGGTCCGCGCCAAACGGCGAGACGGCATTCCTAATTTGTGACTGTTTTCCAGTGTGTGCTGCTGAGTCACCAAAAACGCAAGGCAAAGGCGTAGGTAGGTACTGTGTCTCGTAGCGATATAGCGCGAATAGCGGGGAAAAGCACCTCCAACACATTTGGAAGCTGGCCAATAAGCATGAGCAGTGAATTTCAGAGAACAGAGTACCTACAAACGGAGCAGTTTCGAGTTTTAACGCTTTTCACATTAGATACCATGGTCGTTACTGATTGACCACCGCAAAGATTGGCGATCGGTTTTCAATAAACCTGTGGGTTTGGGTGACGGGTGCCACCATGTTGCCTCTGATCGCTGAGTCTCAAACGTCTCCCTGCGGCGCAGTGCAGAGGGGCGCCAAAGCTGTCCCAGACCAGACGGTATTTCCGGTGCGGCCTTGTTCGTGAGTTGCACCCCTCGTGGACCGGCTCTGACTCACGGCTGGCGCCCGTGCCCTCCAGCAGGGCGGCAGGGGCCGGTTCTCCCCCCGATCAGCACCTGGCGCTGCACAGTGCACGGTGCACGGTGCACGTGCACAGTGCACAGCACAGCAGGGCCTCCTCTAACATACCCACTGGGTGGGCAAATGCCTACCCAGTCACCACAATTGCCCACCCAGTGGCGTCGATTTGCCCACCCAGAAGCAAATGCAAAAATAAAGGTCCGGCCAGACGTCCGGTAGGAACTACCACTTCGGTTTCCCGGGAAAAAAAAAAACTTGTTAGCAGCCAGTGCCCCAGCCCCCAATCACTGCAGTGCAAGTTATTTTTTTTTACAATGGATGCATCTGAATGCAGGGGCGGTAGCAGACTTGGCGTTTGGGGGTGGGGGCAACTTGGCAACTTTGCCAACCCTCGGAGGGGGGGGGGGCGGTGCTAGCTTACAGAGGCCCATGGCCATAGCGGCCTCAAAGGCCCGTAAGGAACCCCAGAGGCCGATGTGGGCTCTCAGAGGCCAGTGCGTGACGCCTAAAGGTGTAAGCCATGGGTCCCCAGCCAGACAACAAAATAGGGCCATCAGAGACCTTATAGGCTGATTGGGGACTAAATAGGGCCTCAATTTGGAGCCATCAGAGGCAAATGTGGGCCTCAGATATCAGTGTGAGGCCCTTATAAGACTGACATTGGTCCTCAAAGACCGGCATCGATCCTTCAGAAGCCAGTACGGGGCCCTCAGAGGCACAAAAGGGTCAGTCTTGGATCTCAGAGGCAGAAAATGGGCCATCAGCAACCGGTGTGGGACCTTTAGAGGTCGGTTTGTGCCCTCAGAGGCCAGTTTAAGGCCCTCAGAGACCAGTACAGGGCCTGAAAATGGCAGTTTGAGGCCATCAGAGGCCGACTTAGGCTCTCAAAGGCTAATGCGGGTCCTTGAGGCAAGGATGGGACCCTCAGGGGTCAGTGTGGCACCCTAAAAGACAGGCTTGGGCTGGTGTTGGACCCCAGAGTCCAGAAAAGGCCAAGTTGAGCCCTCAGAGCCGATGCAGGTCCTTAACCCGGCAGTTGCTGGGGTATTTCGCCACCCACCGTTTGCTGGGGGGGGGGGGGCGTTAAACGCCCCCAGCCGATAACTCGAGAACCAATAGGCGCAGCGAAACGCACGAGGCGGCAAACGAAAGAACGCGACGAGACGCTTCAGATGAGTACTTTAAAGTTGAATTTTGAGGTCACAGGTCGGGTCAAGGTCAGGTCAAACAGGTCAAACACCTGTAATCGGACTTTCAGTAGCATGGACTTCAGGACTTCACAATGGGCGCCTCCCGTCATAAACTCTGTCAAAACGGTGCACAATCCATCATATAAGGCCTACAAGAGTGTCAGCTCCATGTAGGGGTCAGTCAAGCATAGGTCAGGGTCAAGGTCAGGTCAACCGGGTAGACACATATCCCCGAAAATCAAAACTGATATTCGCAGCCTGTGACACATGTTTTATGGGTATTTTGGGGCGTAGAACACGATGGTGACATTCATTTTATCATATGTGTACGTGTTTGGGTCAAAAATTTCAAATTAAGAAATACATGTATCATGGTCGTGAAGCAGTCATGAGAAATTGCCAAGATTCAGTTCAAGATTTTGGAGAATGCGGAACGATAATCAATAATCGAAGATAGCCATTTGTGTTCATGGTATTGGCAGTCTAATGGCGTTTACGGCATGTCTGTATGTCTATTCTGTGATTTTATATGATTTTTTGAACATAT